TTGCTCCTGGGTATGTGTCGAGCCAGCTGTGAACCCTGTGGGCCGAGCCTGCCTTCAAACTCGGTTGGGGCAGGAGATGTGGGCATCAGGCCAGGGCCACAGCTTGGGGCCACGAACCTGGGCAGCTACAGTTGAGGGGCTTGTCCTTCCTCAGGATGAGTCCTCAGCCTCCCTCAGTGCTGGGCCTGCAGACAGGGATGGCCTGTGTTTGGGAGGCACCAACCAAGAGAGAGCTGGTGCTACCAGCCAGGTGAGGGAGGAGGCATGGCCCCAAGTGGAGGCCTTCCTGGGCAGCATTAACAGGGGCCTAATGTGGGAGCCACGTTTCCAGAGGCCTCTGAGAGTCTGAGCTCAGTCCTGAACCTTGCTTGGCTGCCCCATGTACTTTGTGGGACTTGGAGAACCTCTGGTGGGAGCAGGACAGGAGAGATGTGAAGCTGGGCCTGCCTTGTGTTGAAGGGCAGATGTAAGATTCCAAAAGACATCCCCCAGTGGTGGGAGGATATTCTGACAAGAGGGAGTTCAGTGCAGGAAGCCTGCATTCTGATTAAAACCCACTGCAGGAGGGTGGGATGGGCACAGGAAGGCCAGAGCTCCTGGGATCAGAGGTGGCTGGGGGATTGGGCCCAGCTGGAGGTCATGCCCAGAGGCTCTGGTCATGGACCTCAAGCCTCTGAAGCCAAGAGGAGCAGCCCTGCCCACAGGCCAGACTGAAAGCGTCACCATCCACTGACCTCCTTTTCCACGCTTCTTGCTACCTCTTCCCCGGCAACTCCTCAAATGTCTTTTTAAACAATGTTAACCATCAACATGTTGCCTTGAAAAGTGATGAAATGACATCTCCTTTGGAGAATGTACTGAGCTTCCCTCCCCCAGCTATGCTTCTGACTCAGGCACCCAGAGACTTCCCACCACATTTGGAATAACTGCTGTTTTGTTCAAGGTGGAAGTAGGGGTGGGGATCCCAGATGCTGTTATCAGCAGCCGGAGACGCCAGGGTTGTTGAGGGGGCAGCGGGCAGAGAGGGTCTGGCCTGGGTCAGGGCCCCTCTGCTCACTCCTTCCCTCTTCCCCTTGCTGCCCATAGACAAGCTGTGGTTCTGCTGCCTGTCCCCCAACCACAAAGTGCTGCAGTATGGGGACGTGGAGGACGGTGCCAGTCCACCTGCCCCCGAGAGCCTCCCAGAACAGCGTAAGGAGGGCAGGGACAGGGACAGGACACCTGCTCCCCCAGACCTCCCCCTGCTCCGGGACGCCTGGCGCCCCGGTGGTCAACCCAGTCTTCTTCCCGCAGTCCCAGTGGCTGACCTCAGGGCACTACTGACCGGCAAGGACTGCCCCCACGTCCGGGAGAAAGGCTCACTGAAGCAGAACAAGGTGAGGGCAGGCAGGCCTGGGCCCCTTCCCACTTGCCCTGCCCTGCCCCCTGCTCAGTGCTCATGGTTTCCTTGCCCCCAGGACCTCTGTGAGTTAGCTTTCTCAGTCAGCTATGACCACGGGGAGGAGGAGGCGTACCTCAACTTCATCGCCCCCTCCAGACAGGAGGTGAGTGTCTGGGCAGGCTGAGCTGAATTGGGTAGATGGGCCGGGGAAGAGGCTGGCAGGTCCTCATGGAGCTGTCCCTGCCCCCAGTTCCACCTGTGGACAGATGGGCTGAGCACCCTGCTGGGCAGTCCCATGGGCAGTGAGCAGACACGGCTGGACTTGGAGCAGCTGCTGACCATGGAGACCAAGCTGCGCTTGTTGGAGCTGGAGAACGTGCCCATCCCTGAGCAGCCGCCCCCCATCCCCCCGCCCCCCACCAACTTCAACTTCTGCTATGACTGCAGTGTCACTGAACCTTGACAGGTTGGCCGAGGGCCGCAGCTGCTGCCACTGTGGTGGCCGTGAAA